TCACATAAAATAAAAAATGTATATCTTTATGTTTGAAGCCTGAAATGTGGCAAAAGGTTGAAAAGTTCAAGGGGGCCGAATACTTTCGCAAGGCACTGTAAGTGTAAGCAATTATTAATGATTAATGACTTAATGTTCTTCTAAATGGTAAGGGTAAACTCCTTCTTTTCATAGCCTCAAAAAATATACTGACAATTGTTAGGAGATCCATTTACTGCATGTCAAGACACGCTGCAGCATCATCAGCATACTAGTGTTTGATGGTTTTCACTGGACATTGATTAATGTACAGTATTTGACCATGGATGTTGCCAGGATGTATGATCCTGTTTATCTGGTGAAATCTGGTTTTGATGATGAATCAATGCTCTGCACATTTTGTAATAAAGCTTATATTTGAAGCTCCTTCATCGCAAATGGTTCCTTTCCAGAGACAAGCATTTCTTCAAACAGTTGTGTTGCAGTTTTCAGTTAGTAAAAGCCTGTCCTCCTTTGGAATTCCACAATTTAGTCAAGCTTGGCTTAAAAATCTTTCATTGTCTGAATTTAGAGTAGAAGCATATGTCGAAAATTGTAACATAATGAGGTGCTTATTGATTTCAAAGAAAAAACTCATGAAAGTGGATGATGATTCCTGATGATAAATTCAAATACATAAATGTAATGTTCTTATCTGATTTTCATTTCCATAAAAAAAGTACTTTATTTTGTACTTCACCAGCTTTGTCAGGTTTCACTCAGTGTGGTGAACTCTGAATATGCCCTGTGAGTGCATATCATTTTCACTCAGAATATATTATACTATCTATCAGTTTAGTCTTACTATTTTTTCATAGTTCTAGCTACTGCAGCTTGAAAAATATTACATGGACACACTGGTCCTGGACTGACGTGGTGACCATTTGTCTCTCAAGATGTGCCTGTCCATCACATTGATGTTCACTATTTTGTAAATCTCATTCAATGCATTAAGACAGTAGACTGGAATTTATTAATGGCAAGATACATCCAAACTATTGAATCTGCATTTGTTCTTAATTTGCAAGTTCTTTAAGTTAAACACTTATGAGCAATTTATAAAGACAGAGCACAAAGGTTACACAGAAAAGGATCCTGTATTGGATAAAGTGGTGAGGTTAGAAAATGGATAGATAGATAGTTATTTTATTAAGTGTGTTTGGGTGTGGGTCCTGGAATGCTTCTCCAATTTATCTGGATTCTTATGCAGAATTAATTTACCGTTTTTGAATTATTTGTCAAGACAGTATCCCCACATAGAAATCTACCTGTACTATGTCCAGAGTAGACAATACAGAACTGCTCAGTGAAAATAATGAGAAATGGTTCCTGTTGTGCTCTTACGTGATTCCTAGAAGTACCTTTAGTAGTTCAAATGACAGGCAAACCATAAGCGTAACTGACATAAAGTATGTGACCCAAATGAAAATTCCGTTTTTAGAACAGGTCTAGAAGCAAATCACCATTTTTCAGTTCCTCAACATTTTGAAAATCACTCTAATCTGAAAATTTTATGAAAAAGTTTTATGAACATTCAACTGTTCCAAAATACAGTTTTGACACAACTTTTCCTGCAATGCTATCAATCTTCAGCATCCATAACTACTGCCTACATGTTGTCTTTCTAAAAAAACTTCCTTCAAACCAGCTCACAGTCCCCTGAATAAATCATAATGTTCAGTATTTATGAGTATGCCATGATCATCAATGTTAAGTACTTTCCAGATGGGACTCCAGACACCAAAAGAGATTTACTTATGTTTGTCAGACATCTGGTTTCAGACAAGACTGTTTAGATTTTCAGGGGTTAGTGCAGTGTCTGGTTGGAGGTAGTGACCAGATGTCAAATATCTAGTCAGAAATAATAACATTTTAAATTTTCTAGTAAAGCATGTACATTGCTTCATTTAAAAAATTAAGGCTAATGTAAAATACAATGTATACAGTATATTATGCAATCATAGCAAAGACTGTCTGTTGCATGTAGAGAAATGATACTGGCCATTCTAACTAAGAACAAAAAACCATGAGTGATTGGAGACTTCCTAATAATTTTCCTTTGATAATCTCTCTGAAGCATCACTCAATGTTCATATGTATACAGTATATTATGCAATCATAGCAAAGACTGTCTGTTGCACGTAGAGAAATTATACTGGCCATTCTAACCAAGAACAACAAACCATGAGTGATTGGAGACTTCCTAATAATTTTCCTTTGATAATCCCTCTGAAGCATCACTCAATGTTCATATGTAATGAAATACAGTACAAACACAGTTTATGACATACCTGCAGTGTTTAAAAACAAACTGATCTCCATGGAATTACACCACGTCTGTTACATCACGGTCCAGAATAAGCACTATCATGTAAGGGGGATCCTGTTTTCATTGTCACTTCACAGCTGTCAACATGATTTAGATCTATCAATCAAATGTCATGTGTTATACCATACTGTATGCTGGTAAATATGGGCTAGCCACTAGTGAATAACATGGATGCAGAACCCATGAAACAAATGCAATAGTTAACACTTAACAGGTCCCAAGTGAATTATCCTCCAGTGCAAAGAATATCAGCAACCTTGAAGACTTGTTCCTTCAGTTTCTGGAGGTGGAGCATCAGACACATTGAGAAATGTTACAATGTCCTTTATGTCCCTATTTAATGCATTGGACAGCGATTAAGAGCTAAGGGTCAACAAGTATGTAGGAGTCGCATCCATAGATATTGAAACTCCTGGAATAATGGCTCAGCTTTTCAGATGGATGATTCTTCATGCTTTCCGTCTTGGACGGGGCTGGATGAGCTACAAGATTTAGCAGTTCATCTTGGACTGGAAGTACAGTAGGTGGAGATGCACTTTTCAGTGAGGTGTGCATATTAAATTAGGTCTTACCCACACTGACAAGTTCAACACCCACCTCCCCCACACAGCAGCAAGAGCACCAATGGCACAACATAATGCCTATAATACTGTATTTGGGTACATGTTTAGTGTTTTACACATTAGACAAACTACAAGCAGCCAGAGATGCATCTACACTTTCTGTAAATAATTGAATCCAATTTTTATTAACATACCACACAAGTTGCATATCTCTGATAAAGCCAGTGATGTGTGAACGAAAATCCAGATACATTCAGACACAACACCAGCAGGGGTTTTATATGTAAATATCACCATTTGAGTACACTTAGGTCTGAGGTGAACATACACCCTAATAGTCACATCTTACAGTATGACTGCATTGTGGCTTGGTGATTAGCACGACCCCTCTCATTTCCAGTAACCTGAGTTTTATTCCAACATGAGCACAATACTCTCCTCTTATTTGTTGCTTGTTGATCACAACATCTCGGTGTTCTGATAACATGCAGCACATAAGCACAGTTCAAAGTTTACCCCTTAAGTCTCTAGCGGGTTTATTAAAAAAGATAAGTATGTGTGATCTATATATGCACTTACATGTCTGGTGTAAAACTCATCCACCTCACTGAAGACCTTCTTCTGACACTCCATGTTGAGGGCCATCTGGTAACAGGCAAAGGCCAGTGTACTGCTCGTGGTTTCATAGCCGGCTAAGAGAAAAATGAATGCTTGCCCAAGTATTTCATCTTCTGTCAGGATCCTTTTCTGAGCTTTTTTTAAAGGTTCCTCATATTGCTTGGTTCTTGTTGGTGCATCTACATCAGTTTGATTCACAACATCAAAATCTTCCAGACTGACACACTCCTTGGTGCTTTTCACGTCAAGCATGAGCTGGAGGAAGTCTCGTCGTCTCTGAAGGGATGCAAATAGAAGCCTCAAATATCCACATTCAGCAAAACCTGATTTTGAAATACTCCTACTATCCAGCTTAGCTCCTGAGATCTGACTCTATTGGAGTTCAGTACACTCAATAAGTACAGGTTATAGGCTACTATGTATTGCTTCTTAATGATGAGCTATCAGAGTACCCTGTAACACTGTACTTAAGTAAGAAGAGTATATGGTAATGCTGACTAGCAACCTAAGGTGCTGCCTTACTGGCCCCTGTAACTCAGACAGCAAAATTATTTTTGGCTCTGAAAATTCACAGTTTATAAGGACTAAAAATCCATTCAAGGGCCTGAACCTAGGCCAATAATATAACACTTAGTTTGAGATTATCATTAAGTAGTTTACAGATGGGAAAGCACAGTGTTGCAGTGGTTAGCACTGCAGCCTTGCAGCGCTGGGACCCAAGTGCTCCCGTTTCTTACATACTGGTATTGTAGGTTAATTGGCTCCTGCGAAAACTGGCCCTGGTGTGAGTGTCTGTGTGTCCATGTTTGTGTCTGTCTACTCTGCGATGGACTGGGATCCCCACCCAGGGTGTGCTCTGCGTTGTCCCCTTTGTTTGCCACATATACAGTACATTAATTTATTTGTAAATACTGTATACACTGTAATACATCAAAACTGCCACATTTTACATTTGTATTTTTCCCAATTCAAACCCTATATACGGAGTTTCAGATTTGATTAAAATATTTCTCATAAAATAAATTTTGGACTGTTGACTCCATATTATTCTCAGGTATACTGTACCTCATTGGCTGGCTGTTCCTCACGGTGCTTTATCATGTTTTTGATACTGCTTACAAAGAAGTTGTTGAGTTCATCCCTCCTTTTGTTAGGTACAATCCGGATAAGAGGAGAAATAAGGAATGGAAAAGCAACTAAAGAAAGAGGTAAAAATATATTTTTGTTTTATTTTGTTCAAGAGCAAGGATCCCTCATATGCTGTATCTCTCATAGATAAGTGCTGCTATAATATTAAAATTCACTAAATTAAAAAATTCCGGAAATATATTTAGGAATTTATATGAAAATCCATCTGTTCCTGGACAAAACACAATTTCACCCTGTTGGTGAACTAGTGCACACAACTATAAGACACTATAAGAGAGCCTTCATGTAGTAAAAATTAAAGTTCACAAAACAGTATGCTAGTTACACTAAACACGCTAACATAAATACATATGGTTTAGATACTTGGCACAGAATCTATAATCATTTCCCAAGTCATTAGGGGCAGTTAGTAACAATCAATATTTCTGTATTTCCACGTTTTCTATGGTAATATGAATAACAAATATTAATAATAACTGAAAAGCCATTTTAGAAACCTCAATACTTGAGAATTGACATCAGGAGCTTCGGGACTCCACAAACTAAGAGCTTGGAAACACCATAGAATTAAAGTATTATGTTGTTACAGTATGTACAGTACTGTAGCAGATTGAGGCCGGCTTAAATGAAGAATTACTATCTTCAGAGTTAATTCTTACACCAAGACTACTGTACAGTATGTTTGTGTCTCTGTGCTACTTTCCTATCTCATACAGTAATGGTCTAAAGGAAACATTACATCTGGAACAGCAACAAGGAAGTACTGTACTTACTCAACAGCATCACCATGGGCCTGAAAAATGTGAAAGAGAAGAACTGCTTGGCATGTTTCACAAAGGGGTTATCTGGGTTCCTCTGAGAGTCCACCTGAGTACCAAATCCCACACTGGCAATGACATCCATAGTGAAGGAGCCCAGGCACCTGAATGGGGCATTAACAAGAGCACAAAAAGAAACTTTAAATGTCTTTAAATGTCACTGGATTATTCAAGAATTTGTACTTGTTTCAAAATTTCACTTCACTAATCTGTTGAAAAGCATCAGTTTCATGTACCATGGTTATAATTTATTATAATTTAAAAGAAATTGAAAAACACACTGAAATAAAAAATGTAAGTAAATGACAAGTTGAAACCCTATCTCAGTATTAGAAATAGCAAATCTATATTTTTAAAAATACATTGGACTTCATGTGGACTCAATGTAAATCTTATAGAAATCTTCTAATAAAAAATACCAATCCAATAAAAATCATCACCATTACATTATGCATATATTTCTTATATATACTTATATACTGTGAATGTGCACATTTTAAAATGAAAAGCAAAAACAACAGTGATACCTGGCATAATATTAATGAAGAGTTATGAAATGAAAACACAACTTAAAAACATGTTCAACTTGAGAACATGGCATGAAATGGAAGTCAAAACAAAGACCAGCCTGATAAATCAAGTACTAGTACTGAAGATTAGAGTTCAAACTAAAATTTTATTAAAATGTTAAACTAAATTAAATAAAACAATATATAAATAAAACAACTTGAAAGGTGCCAGTGTGCTGAAACTTTTTATTCTTAATTATTCTTAAACTTCTACTATGAAGTGCAATCTGCCTTTTTTCCTAATAAGAAATACTATTCTCAGCATTGTGGCTCAGGCCTACATGTACATACACTGGGTTCATCTTTCCCCTTGTGGAATTCTCTGTCTAAGGAAACAAATATAATCAAACCACATTTCCATATTTACACTGGAGTATATTAACTCAGAACTGCTGAACATTGTTAAAAAATCTTTCTTACATGACTCGCAACTTTTAGTTACTATTAATTTAAAATACCAAACTGCGACAAACATTTTTGAAGTAAATATAATATCTTGATTTTCACAGCATGGAGAACACATTTCTGTGAAACCTACCGGTGAACGTCAAAGCTCTGTCCAGAGTCAGCAAAACTCTTCAGGTTCTCCACCAGAGTATCAGCTGCTATGTTAATTAGGGGAACCATCTGAAAAGACATAATAAAAGCCCTTTTAACCTTCTGTACATACTGTACTCTTCCTTCAGCCAAAGATGGATAAAAAAAAAAACAGAAAAAACTTGACAAGCAAATAAATTCCCATTAAAATTTACTCTGGAAAAAATATGTATTTACCAGGAAAATCACAATTAGGATTCATAATATGTCTTATTAAAAAAATCAGAAGTCTGTCTAGTATCATAAAAGCAGCTAATTTAATGTACAGCTCACACACATTAAAACGCTGTACATGAGGGGCCACATACCTATTGTTTACATGCAGCCTGTGGGATGTTTGATTCATTAAAATACCTACAGTACGTACTGTACATTTGAAATCACACAAACTCTTATGAAAGCATTCTGCAAAAAGTTAATTCAATGAACAGTAAATACCCATTTACAGGAAATAAATCTATGTACAGTACTGTATATAATTCAAACATATTAAACCAAGAAGCTATGACACATGAGACGCACAACACTAAGCACAATATGGAGCAAACACAAGCATAGATTCTCAAAGATTATAGGTGTGTTCATCTCATGATCATGATGAAGATTGTTTCTAAGAAAAAATCTGATAGTTTTCGGGGTTGTCATTTTAAAAATTCAGATGTCGGTATGTACTTATGCACAAATATGTGAGATAGCATTTACTTTTACTCATTCACTCAGTTTCAGTCTTGGTTCAATGTAAAGAACAATCTAAAGACACAGGCTATCTGCGTACCACAATTTACATTAGGATTCATATTGTACCTATCACCATCCTCACACCTTCGACTACAGCAGAAGCAATGCACCTCTAAACAGACCTCTCTTGCTTTCCTTATCTTGCAGTCATAAAGCAGATGTCTAGCATGAACAACTAATATTGTTTCTCTCCACCACGGAAAAAACGGCAAGATATGAAGTACAAAACCCTTCATAAAGTCCCAAACAAATGAACTGTGATGATGTGTAGGGCACAATAAACAACAAGAAATATTGTGATGTGATGCTTAGTGCTAAGGGCTATAAATAAATCCTATAGTTATAATAAATTCTACTTTTTATATTATTAATTTAATTTTCTCCTGTTAAAATATTATTCATATTCACAGCAGTGTAATACATGTCTTACAGCACATACAGTTAAAGCATCATAATCTGAAGGGAGGGGTCTAAAAAGAATCTCAATCTGAAGGGTTATATCCCACTGTGGTGCCTGTCTCTTTATTTATCACCTTGGTGGTGAGTTCGTCTTTCTCGTTCCTTTGCTCAGGACCCCCAGTGTAGTGTGTAATTGTTCTCTCCTGCAGAAACCCAAGGGAAATCTACCACAGTGGTTTTGGTTTGATAAAACACCAGCAACTCCAGCTACATAAGAACACTGCAAGCCCCTCTGGCTTTCCTGGACTTCTACTGAAAATGCACAAAAGAAATCAACACAGCACTGAATGGAATAATAGAATGTAAGAGTGGATGCATTATACCACTGAGATTACAATGCCATAAATATGAATAACGCCAATTCTTTACAGAAGTCTCTTGCTGCTTTGTTTGCTACAGTTCATACCAATAAGCAGAACAGAGCCTGGGTTTAGAGTCCAGGACAGATAATTCCTGAGATATGATGACTACACAAACAAAAGAAAAAAAATCATTATTATAAGGCTTGTTGTCTTCAATTTGCTTATTTATTTTGAATATAACAGCTCTGGCCTTTAATCTAAAGCAATAAATAAACAACAAAAATACAGTATCCAATCTATTATCAGTAAGAGAAGTGTAAGAATTTAGAATAACATTTGCATTTGTATTTAATTATATGGGTAACAAAGCACCATACAACTATTACAGAGGATATACTGTGCTACCATATGATTTTACAGATGCTATATTATAATTGTTTTTGCGCCCCGTGTCACAGGACAAGAACCTGAGAAATAGATACAGTATAACAAACCTTTTTTACTCTTTACAAGTAGTTATTTCTCCAAACTGATATATCAACCTATGATAAATGAATCAACATAACCATACACCCCTGCAGATTAAATTTTAACTATGAAACAATGTATGTTTTATAACAGCCATGCAAGCCTCTAAGTTGCCAGCATGTTACATACAGTATAGAATGAGTGTTGAAGATCAATAAAATATTTAAATAACTTGATTAAGAATTTATTTAATACATTCTAGATCTAGACCACACTTTGAGGTGTTGAAACCTGAAATGACAGTATTTTCAAGTTTTCAAATATACACAAAGTCATTAAAGGTTAAACCTTTGTACTGTAACTTACAAAAACAAAATATTTTTCAAGTGCTTAAATCCATATGCAATGTTAGTTTAGAATCTTTAAATTTATGTCTTTAATATTTCATATGTGAATGGCCACAGTTTTTTATTATTATTATATTTCTTCCTTAAAAGCCATAAAAAATAAACCCAAAGTCTGGTTTTATAAAGAAATGGTAGTTAGCTGATAAAAGATGACAGCATCAATGTCCTCTCTCTCCAGCAAAATCAGGGCAAATGAAAATCAATACACACTGCTGGTGCCTGGTAAGGAGCTGAAAAGTTATTTATCACTTGTGACAATAGAATTAATAGAGACTACAGACTGTAAACACTTGGGCTGCCAGTGTAACAGAGTGAAAGAAGGGTAAGGCAAAAGGACCACATGTCTTCTTTCAGCTTTCATTTTTACGCTGACGATACTCAAATATACATCCATACCAAACCTGGCACTGATGTGGCTGTCTCTATTCTAATTGCATCTCTGACATAAAAATTTGGATGGCTCAAAACTTCCTTCATCTTAACTGTGACAAGACTGAAGTCAT